ATTGACCTCTGTCTCCCTGTAATGTCCTTACACATGCCGCCATCGGTCAAGTCTCAAGAACCAACATACTAAGTGACTCTTTCTTATGCTTATGTTTAGCCCAGCTTCCAACAGACCTCATTTTCACTGCAAAAGTATGCCTACATCAAACAAAAAAAAAATTAAGTTGTAGTGTTCTCCCTTCCTGCCTCTATAAAAATTTGATATTAATTTTTAATTATTGTTTTATTAAAACATTCTCTTCCTAAAGTGGTGTCCTTTTTCAAAAATTAAGCAAGGTAATCTCCTTAGAATTAAAGCCCAACCTAAGCATATTTCCCTAAAGTGGAATTATTATGTTTAAATAATAACATCTCAACAATTACGCAGAGCAGAGTATCTCCTCACTTACTGTCTCCTCTTCAGAAGGCCCACCTCACTACGGATCCCTCCTTAAAATGTCAAAACTTAACTATCATAGCTGATATTCATCATCTTCACACATCCAAACCATGCAAGTGATAATGAAGACTGACCGTGTGTGTGTGTGTGTGTGTGTGTGTGTGTGAGAGAGAGAGAGAGAGAGAGAGAGAGAGAGATTTAACATTGAAGGGATCCTTAAACACAGCTTAAATCACAAAGAAAAATTTTTTGCTTTACAATTGTAAAGGTCTGAATAAAAAAGCAATTGTAAATACAGTAAAAAAATTAGCCATAGATGAGAGAAAATAGATACTCGTATGTTTCTGTTAAATTAAAAAATAGGTTAAAGCCTTGGCTGGTGTGGCTCAGTGGGTTGAGTGCTGGCCTGTGAACTAGAGGGTCACCAGTTTGATTTCCGGTCAGACACATCCCTGGGCTCCGGGCCAGGTGCCCTGTGAGGGGCATGTTAGAGGTAACCACACATTGATGTTTCTCTCCTTCTCCTTCCTTTCCCATCTTTCTAAAAAAAAGAAATAAAATCTTTTAAAAATAGGTTAAATTTTTTTAGAACTTGCATAAAGAATGTCCATGGACAAGTCACAAAAGGAGCAAACTATAGGCGAATAATATACTTAACATTAATAATTAGTTGGAAAATTGTGAACGTAATACAATGCAAAACACTTCTACACTCATAACATTGGCAAAAATTGAAAAGTCTAGGGACCATCAAGTGAGGAATAAAAATATGTAAACTTTATTATTGCTCATTACAGAGAAGATTTGGAGCAACTAAAATGTCCATCTACTCTAAATGCATGAACCAAATCCATAACAACTAAGATAATTATTCTTTGAGAAATATATATACCAAGCACAAAATGAAGTAAACATTTTAAATCCACTTATATAATTTTAAAAATCCAATTATACAAATTTTAGAACCATGTTATTAGCAATTATATATTATAATGTGCATAGATTATATATACATATTTACATATATTTTATATACATATTTATAATGTATATACATTATAACCTCCACATTTGGAGGTTATCTCCACATTTTGTATTCTTTGGGTGAAATTTTTGCATAGAGACCTGATTAATGAGCATTTTATTTGTCCTTCTTTCCAGGGGGAATAAGAACTTTACCTGGGAATTATTGTTCTCTCCTTTGGGGATGGAGGCTGTATGTGTGTAAGTCTTCAGGGACTTCAGACCCTTGAAAAACCCTTTACTGTGCTTCCTGCAGCAACCTTTAAAGGGGATCTCAGCAGGTCACTGTGTGTAGGTAGGTTAAACCAAATACTTTACTGATTACTAATTCTGGATGTGCGGAGCAAGCATCTTGGAAATTTATTAATTCAGATCAGACCCAGGACCGAAATGATACTGCTCTGTTCTCTTGTCTCATTTCTGCCCACTGATTGCTAAGTGGAAGTGATGGTAATAGACTTACAAAATAGTGTCCAGTGTCCCTACTGGTAAATTAAACTTCATGAGCATTTATACAGAGTAATGAATAGTCATTACAGAAAGTATATTTCACCTTAATTAATAAGGATTGTTTTTTACCATAAAACTGGCAGAATTGATGGATGTTTTAGAGGACACTCTACCTAAGATACCAGCGTCTTTGCAGTATGTCTTCAAGAAAAACTTACTCAATTACTTAACATCAATAAAAATAAGTTTGTTTCCCTTTCCTGCTTTTTGTATTGCTCAGATGATTAACCTTAGGATGCAAAGATTCCCTGATGTTAACAGTCTCTGTATTACTGGTGAACACAGAGAACTCCTATCAGGATGCATCGTTTGGAAATCATATTAGAAACTGTTTAAAAATTAACTTGTACTATCATTTATTATTAAAATTATAAGATAAAATGATTAAAATTAGTACATTTTAAGTTTGTATTTGCTTAAAATGCCTTGATAGACCTGTAAAATAGTTATATTAAAAAACAAATTAAAAAAACTAATTGTAAAGAAGTAAAATTTCTCTTTTCAGGAACAATGCTAAGTCAAACAACATTCTGAAGAAGTCAGAGAAAACTGAGGCTGTTCTAGAGAAGCTTTATTTCAGTGACATCCACTTACCAAAATATAAAACAACCCTATATGGCTTTGCCTTCAGCTATATTGCAGTAGAAGAGAAAATATATAACAGGTAAGATATGTATATATATATATACTCTCTTTTCAAAAGCTAATTGTACAAATTCATAGTAGATAATCAATCATTGCTATTGTTGATAATATTTTTGTTTTTGTTAAATTAAGGATAAGTTAACTGAATATAGTATCTCAGAGTAAAACATTCACTGAGTTGCTTGATGTGTAGCAAAAAAATGGGTTATTTTTAAATGATTTCATTGACTTATTTTTAGAGAGAGAGGAAAGAAAGCAGAAAGAAAGGGAAATAAACATCAATATGCATTGGTTACCTCTCGCACACCTATAACTGGGGACCTGGCCCTCAACCTAGACATGTGCCCTGACTGGGAACCGAACTGGAGACCTTTCCATTCACAGGTTGACTTTTAATCCACTGAGCCACACCAACCAGGGCACAGATGAAATATTTTGATCAATGAGTGTTGTCACAGTGTTTCCCACCAAAAGCTTACCTACACAATTCTCTTTAGATGCAGTGGTAGGAGTTGAGCTATCAGACCGCTAGTGCAACTCCATCAGATAAGCTCTTTAGACAACATATCTGATGGATGGAATTAAGCATCTTTAAAACAAATAAACACCAAAGTTTTAAGAGAATGAGGTTGTGGGAGAGCACAGCCTTATTTGTTTGTTAAATGCATAGCTGGATGTCTTGTGTTCCAGTTTCTCAAATATGCAAAATTATAATTCAATTACTATTTCTATGTCATTTATGAAAGCCCTCAACAAGGTAGAATGAGTTACCAAGGCTTACTCATTCACTATCAATGAGGTATCAAAATGTGGTGAAATAAGAAAGCACATTTTAAAAATCATTCAAAATATGTTAATAATATTAACTACTGGCACCGATTAATTTGCATTCATTGTTACCAGGAGCTGTGCTAACTAACTTATGTGTGTGCATTTTCTCATTTAATTCATATAATACAAGAATAGAAATACTTGAAAAAAATCACACAGCTAGTAATTAGTGACTCAACAGGCAACCAACCAACTAACCAAACAAGCAAACAAAACACATTAAAGGAAAACCATAAAACCATGCTATTAACCAATATCTTATACAGACTCTTTGATTAGCTTAATCTCATTAAAACTCAATTGTCTTATCAGACATAGAAATAATTACATCTATCTTCTAGTACTCTCCTAGAATACTGAGATCACTGTTTCTGAATGCTTAGGACAGTTCTGGGCTCAAACTAGTAAGTACACACTAAACCATGTCAGTACTCTCCCTCGTTCACTTTTCTATTTAACTAAATCAAACTGATCAAGCTTTAACAAATCAAAACTATAAGTAATAAGTTTTTAAAAAGTTAAAACATACTTTAAATAATATAAAGTATAAGCTGAAAAGGAAAGGAAGGGCTACCAGAACAGAACAGTAAAGTATGAACAACTAGAAGTCACAGGACAGGACTGGCTTATTTGGTAAAAAAAAGGAAGGAAGGAAGGAAGGAAGGAAGGAAGGAAGGAAGGAAGGAAGGAAGGAAGGAAGGAAGGGAAAGAAAGAAAAGAAAAGGAAAGGAAAGGAAAGGAAAGGAAAGGAAAGGAAAGAAAAAAGAAAAGAAAAAGAAAAAGAAAAAGAAAAAAAAGAAACATGATTAAGTGAAGAGGACACAGTTTCTGATACTAAGAAGAAACAGTATTGAGTATAGTCTGTGGGCAGTTGAAGCAGAGCAGTGTGGTGGAAATTGATAAGGAAAAACCCAGGATATTGACTGTTTCCATAGAAATATTGAAATTCCCAAGGATGATGATAACAAAGTATGGGCTGGAGAGGAAACCTGTGGCAGCTAAGGAAAAATAACTGAAAGTCACTCTGGTTCATGTGTTTCTTCTAGGTAACTCTGTTTTATCATTGGAAACATAAACACAAATACATACTTAGAGGCATGTTTATACAAGTAAATATATATGTGTATGGATATACATTCAAGCAATAGAAAATATTACTATAAATAATATATGCATATAAATATTAAAACATAATATAATAAATTAGTGTGCATTACCCAATACAAACTATAACCAGCAGTGAATAAATAAATCAGTACCTTAGTCAAACAGTTCTAAGACTCTGAAATTGGTCTCTGGAGAGTTTGCATTTTAGTATTTTGTGAAAAGATTGAGAGAAAACAAGATCTGAATAAAAGTAAACTGATCAATACACAGATGATGTATGATAGAACTATACCCTGGAAACATAAATAATTTATTAACCAGTCACCCCAATAAACAATAAAAATTTTAGAAAAATAAATAAAAAACAATTAAGAACAATAAAAATAAATAAATAAACTGATTTTAAATTGAACTTTTAAAAACCTGGCATTGAACAGAGAATACATCTTATTATCTATTAATCTCTTCATTTCCCCTATTAATTGATGAAAGCAACAAAATCAATGGCTCCAAGGAATCTTTCACAGGTGACAGAATTCATTCTCATGGGCATTTCAGACCTTCCAGAGCTCCAGATTCCACTCTTCCTTGTTTTCCTGGTCATCTATGGGCTGACCGTGGCAGGCAACCTGGGCATCATCACCCTCACCAGCATCGACTCTCGACTTCAGAGCCCCATGTACTTTTTCCTCCGGCACTTGGCTATCACCAATCTTGGCAACTCTACTGTCATTGCCTCTAAAATGCTGGCTAACTTCTTGGTTTCCAAGAAAACCATATCCTACTATGCATGTGCAGTGCAACTGAGTGGATTCGTACTTTTTATTGTGGCTGAGATTTTCATGCTTGCTGCAATGGCCTATGACCGCTACGTGGCCGTGTGCAACCCCCTGCTCTACATGGTGGCGGTGTCTCCAAAGATCTGCCTTCAGCTCGTGTCCCTTATACATTTGTACTGCCTGACCACAGCACTGACTATCTCTTCCTGTGTGTTCTCTGTGTCCTATTGCTCTTCCAATGTAATCAACCATTTTTACTGTGACAACGTCCCTTTATTAGCATTGTCGTGTTCTGACACCTATGTTCCAGAAACTGCTGCGTTTACCTTTTCGGGAATCAACTTGTTTTTCTCTATGATTATTGTTCTGATATCCTATTTTAACATCATCCTTGCCATCTTGAGGATCCGTTCCTCTGAGGGGAGACAAAACGCCTTTTCCACCTGTGCTTCTCACATGATGGCTGTCGCTGTGTTCTACGGGACACTTCTCTTCATGTATTTGCAGCCAAGGACCAACCACTCATTAGATACTGATAAAATGGCCTCGGTCTTCTATACCCTTGTAATACCAATGCTGAATCCTCTCATTTACAACCTAAGAAACAAGGATGCGAAGGATGCATTGAAGAGGTTCCTGCATAACCCATTTCAATCATTCAACTAACATTAATTTAAAACTATCTTCATGAAGGGTTTTCTTTGGCCTCTGAAAGTCCTGCTGTTAAGAAGCAACTGATAGCTTAAAATTCCATGAAGTTCAATGGGAAAATTGTAAACTTTTTTATCCCAACTTGAAGAACCCAATTTTCCCTTTAGAGAAATGTATTAGTTGACCCAACAAAACACAATTATGTAAGTAATGAACAATAACATTAAAATAAACACATTTGAAAATAGTTAAAACTATTCAAAGGTTTTATAATTTCTAAGCAAGGAAGAGCAAGCATGATAGTTGGTGGTGAAGGTTGCATGGTTCACTCCTTGCAAAATGGTCAAGTGAGATCATCTTTCTTGCCACAGATACCTTTTGTTCAACTACTGAAAGTTTTATTATTTTTGTAGCATTTTTTCCACCAATTTCTCAACCTTTGGGTCCATTTTTACTTGAGCTTAAAATAAATTTCAATCACAGAGGAAAAAAATGAACCTTTAGAAGAAAATAAAAACTGAACAAAAATGCTTTAATAGACATGAAAATAAGAAATAGGACAGGTGGCAAAATAAATGAAAAAAATATAAAAGGAGATTCTACTTTTTTATGCCTTTCACTTTCTCCCTTTCACTTGGTACATGTACACAAAAGCAAAGCATGGTCATTTTTTTTTTCTTCCTTCCTCCCTTCTTTCCTTCCTTCCTTCCTCCTTCCCTTCCTTTTACTTCTTACTTCTTCCTTTTAGAACTTTGGAAACTAATTGTACAATTTATTCAGAAAGGCAAAACACCTAAAAATAGCAAAGATGATCTTGAAGAAAGAGAATAAATTTGCAGGAGTTACAGAGCCAGGTGTAGCTTTAGCTAGAGTAATTAAAACAAAATGAATGAAAAAGAAAACAAAAAAAAAAACAAAGAAAAAACCATTTTCCTGAGGACAGATAGGCTGATCAATGAAATAGAAGAGTAACTCCAGAAAGAGTAATAATGTGTATTATACTATATATATAGTCACTCAACTTATAATAGAGGCACCACTATTTTCTGTAAGAATGATCTTTTCAATAAAGGATATTAGGTAATTTGTATATTTTGGTTGAGGAGGAAAACTATCTGGACATCTATTAACACTCTATATAACTTTAATTCTACCTGAATTAAAGGTCTACATGTAAAATACAAACAATAAACATTTTAGATGTAAACATAGTGGGACATTTTAGATGTAAACATCTCTGTGATACTAGAATATGTACAAAACTTTAAACAAAGCACATAGAACAAAAACTACATAAGATTAAAAAAGATTACTTGAACTAATTTAAGAAATCAAAGGGAAGGGGTAAGAAGGATAATAGGAGAAAGGAGGGGAAGGATCTAGTCAAGGAATGTATAGGAAGGACCCATGGACATGGACAACAGGATAGGGATTGGCTGTGGGAGCCAGAGGGTGGGCTGGGCAGGGGAGAGCAATGGAGGAAAAATTGGGACACCTATAACGGGACAAGAATAAAGAAAAAGAAATCTGTTCATCAAAATTAATAACATGAAAATAGAAACTCTCATAATGGCAGATGATATTTTATCAGAATTACATATTTAGAGAGACATATATATATTTAACAGAGGACTTGTGAAAATATAAAAATAACTTAAAATTAATCAATAGTTGACATGAAATACAATAAAAAATGACAAAAGATATGCATGAGTACTTTTCAAAAGAAAATATCAAAATTCCATTGACCATATGAAAATGTTCTCAATTTCATTTAACATTAGGATAATGCAAACTAAAACCACAATACCCATGCACATCATGAAGAATGGAAACAAAGAAAATAATGAAAATATTAAATCTTGACAAGACATTGAGCAATTTAACTATTTTTGTTGTCAGTAGAAGTGGGGCTCTTTCATGGGATCAGGAGAAAAGCATTTCATGGACCCACACACAGGAGATTGTGGTGTGGCAAAGTTTATTTGGGTGGAAATAGAAGGTTGCCCCTGTGTCCTATCTCTGTCCGTCCCACCATGGAAAATGTCCAATCATGTCTTCAGCAAGACCCAAACAAAAGCCAGTGTCCAGTTTCTGTTTCATATTAAAGCTTAATCCTTTAGAAGCCACAGCTGGCTGCCAAGTGATCTCAGTCCTCACCAGGTGGCTAGGCACTGTCCCCAGCCACTGCTGTACCCAGGCTCCTGCCTAAAATCTATGTTTGGAGTCTGCATCATTGCTAGTCTTGCATGGTCACTACAGAGAGAACACAGAAACTGACAGGATGAGCGTGTGATTCCATGCGAGAGAGAGAGAGAGAGAGAGAGAGAGAGCTTCTCTGTTGAACTGGATTATATTGTCTTGGACTAGGTGCTTTTTCAAAATAACCAATCAACTTCCCAGGCTTTCCCAAGCTCCTGATGGGTCCACCCCCCATAGGCAATCAATCCCTTTCCCAGGTCTCTATGGTCAAGGACCTCCCCCTGCACCCCTGTGCCTTTTATTGTGAATGTGCTTACCTCCCACTGCTCCCCCCAATATCTGGTGTCAGAGTGGGGTGTTAATCCATGTAAAGACAATACTGTGCTCCTCTGGCTTGTGGGAAGTTATCGCTTCCTGGTGTGGCAAGCTTACACTCCACAACCCATTAGGTTCAACCATATCCAATTCCTTTTGCTTCCTTCCTTACTAATAACTAGTCAGCTAATTATGGTAACATTTTCACTACTGGTGGGAATGCACATTTATATAACCACTCTGAAAATCCATTTGGCAGTATTTACTAATGCTGAAAGTGCATATCCTGTCACTCAGCAATTTTAGTGTACTGACTACACCCAAACGGAAATACATTCAAGATTAAGCCATTTTAGATCAAATATTGATGTGGACACAAGGAATGTGAGAGTGGTTGTTTTTAATTACCATTATCAGGAAATCTTCATGTATATCAGGGCAATATTTTTATAAATGATTATCTTAAATAAATCCAAATTTTATTATTTTATAAATATCCAAAGATATGAAAAAAGTTTTATTTTCAAAGCATAAAATTGAATAGAATGTTAATAATATCATTAATCATAAAGCCTCCAAATTGAAACCAGTTCTAATAATTAAAAATAAAATAATGAATAAATAATGTGTGATATATTTATAAAATGGAATAGTACACAAAAACAAGAATAAGCAATCTAGAAATACCTATGATAACATATCAAGTGAAAAAGCCCAGACACACAGAAAACATGTGTATAGAATTTCTTTCATATGAAGTAACAAATATGGGTGAATATAACTTATGCTGTTAGAAGTCAGAATAGTAGTTATTTGTGTTGGGGGGACAGTCATAACAAGAAGGAGAAAGAAGAATTCTTTTCCAGTCCTGCTACTATTTAATTTATTTTGGTGGTTGTAATTTCTGTTTAATCTGGATTCTGACTACACAGATGTGTTAATTTTGTAATAATTTATTTATGATGCATGTATTTGTTAATGTGTATTATACTTTAATAATAAACTGAAAACACCACACATAAGGGGAAAATGGCTACACATATTCTCCCTTGTAAATTTTAGAACAATGCAATAAACACTGCCCAAACATTTCTGTTAGGTCCTCACTCCTTTTAAAGGAGACGACGAAGGCTTGCAAGAAAAACTAAAATGCCTCTCCTACAGAAACAATATTTTCATTACAGATGGTTGTGTTGTTAGAAAAGACTTAACCAAGAGAAACTGAGGAAAAGCACCTAACTTTATTCATATGGGCCTACAAAGATATACTGTTTCAATAGCAGCTGTCCCATCAGCTTTGTTTGAAGCTTTCAAATGCTTTAAGCATAATTAACGAATTGTATCCTTTCTCATCAGGGAGGATCTCAAAGGACCAAAAAACCTATAAATTCTTCTTCCTGGGTTCTGTTAAGAGTACATGGGGAGCACGGAGAGATTCCTCATCAGAGATGAGTAGACTGTACTTGTTTCCCCCATTTTTACTGCTAGTCTTTAATACCCCAACTTGGTGATTTAGCCATAACTTCAACAACCTGCTTCAATAACTGAAGTTTCTGGGCTAGTGTGCTGTTGTAAATATCTTTATTAAGATTTTTTACAAAAGCTGGGCATTCATGTTGATGTGCTAAGTGTATACTCTTTGAATTGTAACAAACAACAACAACAAAAAAAACCAAAAAAACCCAACTTTTGAAAAAAGAGTTGCATTAAAAAAGTCCACCCCCAAGACCTTAAGATAGCCATGATTTTTTTTTCACTCGGACCCTTAATCAAGATGTCAAATTTGATGTTATTATTTGCAGTTCATTGAATATGTTTCAGAATTTTTAACCAAAAATAATAACATATTCATAATGTTTTCCAGTTACCTTTAAATGAAAATGGTTACATCAATATCTTTAAAATCCTTCCAATTGTCATTGTCAATAATGCCGTGTTTTCCAAATTCACAATTATCATTGAAAACACCAATATCATGTGCAAATCACCGCTTTTAGTGGGAAGTTAGGCCAAAGCAAAATATTAAATCATGGATTTCACTGCCAGCACCACCGTCTCACCGGCATGCCTCCTAAGAGCCCTTACCCTCTCCTTTACCTACGAGCCTTGGGAGAGTGTCTGAAATGTCATCAAATTGTCTCTTAAATGACTGAATGCACATTTAATAGATACTGGAAGCAAGATTAAAATATGCACCAATACAGATTAAAGCAGGAATGTGTATTTTGTCTAAAATTAAGATATCTTTTCCACTCCTTATTTATTTAGTGGCTCATTCTTACACTCCCTCTATTCCAAGTGAAAAATTACAGAGGTGTTTAAATATATGCATCCAAATGCAAATTTTATTGATCTCACTTGTAAACTTTGTTTATTGTTAATTATGTTAGTGTTGAAATCTGTATTTTGTGTAGGGAGGGAGGCGGAACTGGTGAATGACTTAGCTTCCATGAGCTCTATATTTAGGGCAGTTTTACAGTGAATGTCCAATGCTAGGC